GGGGTAGATTCTGTAAGTGTGGAGGCATGGTAGAGGATTAAAGAGGGAAATGGATTTGTGAGAAATTTAGGACACATATTTATAGGTATTGCATATAGTGAGTCAGGGAATGAGCTGTGTCAGGAATGACTCCTGTGCTCTAGCCTTCCATGAGACAGAGAATGTTGGAAGATGATCAGGTTTACAAGAGGAATATTATGGATTTGTCTTTGGAAGTGATGATTTCCTTTTGAAATTCTCTTTTTCCTGACTTGCTTTACAGAGCTTTTACCAGATCCCATTTCTTTTTATCCACCAGTCTGTTGTCTTTCCCATCTCACCACAAGTCATCTGTGTTCTTCCACTCCCAGCCCACTTAAACACTGGTACTCTCCATGGTTCTGACCTGAGCCTTTAGCTTCATTAATTACCCCACACCCATGCTGTACAATACAGTAGCCATATAAGCACTTGAAATGTGACTAATCTGAATTTAGATATGCTGTATTAAATACAAAGGTGTAGCATTAAGGTAATGAAAAATAAAATAAGTTTTTATAATGTCTAAATGATAATATTTTTTAATATATTGAGTTAAGTAGATGTTATATTACTTTAATACAACTAGTAGAGAACTGAAAGTTGCATAGAGGCTTGCTGTATATTTCCTTAACAGTACTGCTCTAGACAGTGACCTCACTGTTACCTCATATCTGGCATCTTGAGCCCACAGAACTACCTTCTGTCCCCAGAATATCTCAAGTCACTCTATGCCTCATACTCTATCCTTTTCCTGAATTTTTATTTCCCTTCTTTCCTACCAGTTAGATATGATTTCTACTTATTTGTTCAGAACAAATATCTCCTCCACTATATGAAATTTTCCTCACTCATTAAGGTAGAATTAAAGAGTTCTACTTTAGAGTATGACAACTTCTTTTAATATCTTTTTTATAGCAAATCACATGTTTGTATTTTGTTTTATATTCATTTTTTCTCTCCAGTCAGAGTGTAAGTATCTGCAAAGTACAGGTACAATCTGATTTATATTTATAATTATGTAACCAGGCACTGAATACCAAGCTGGTACTCAATTAAAATTTGGTGAAAATCAATTGAATCTACACATATTAAACAGCTAACAAGTAACTGATTCTGACTTAGATGTTTTATAGACAATATCTTAACTCTTCTCAATAACCCTGTAAGATAAATACAATTACTCTCATTTTGCATATGAGAATCTTGCAAAAAATCAGGCTGTTAGTAAATTATAGAACCAGGATTTAACTAGATGGAATGACTCCAAAGTTACATTTTTCCCCCTGTGATTGCATGCATGATGAAAAATAGATTAAAATGTGGACATTATATTTCTACATCAAAATGGGAAAATATGTATTTCCTAGTATTATTGGAAAGTTAAATGAGATAATTGTATATAAAGTGTCAGGACATAATAGGTTGAGATGTTGTGCTCCATAATAGGTTTGATTTCCTTCAATCTTGAGGCCCCACAGCATATGGATCCTTAATTTCTGAGGAAGATCAAGGTCTTCTTAACCTTGTGGATACCCTTATACATGTTTACACTCATGTTCATACACATTCATATTTGTATGTAAATTGTTTATTTCTCAATGGTTAAAGAAAGTGAAGTAGAGAATTAATAAACATTTTGCAGGTATTCAGAGTGTGTGTGTGTGTGTGTGTGTGTGTGTGTGTGTGTGTGTGTTGAAAAGGGCTGGGGAAGGAATATCAAAAAAGGAAGCAAGCCTGGGGTCCTTCTAGGAATATGTTGCCTTGGTAAATTTCCAGAAAATCATTGAATAGATTGCCAATTCCTTTCTTCTTATTCTATCTTACCCAGCTATGATATTTTACAGTCATGACCACTTCTTACATTACCTCCTCAGGAAACTTTGTATGAAAAGGGGGAAGGCAAAAGGGATAAACATTCATTTTAGACCAATATTGTTCTGTGGGTCCTACATTGAGATGCTGGGCTCCTGAGAAATTTAATCAAATGAAATGTGAAATAGAGCTGTGTTTAGGTAAGGGAAATCTATCCTTCTATAAGCTTTAGGTGCCTGTAATTCCCTTGAAAAAGAAATATTAAGAAATCTCTGTTGTAATTGGTACTTGACTAAGGCTCAGTGGAGTTCGTGATCTCAAGGGCAAATTAACTCCTCTTCTTGAGTCTCTTGATTCACATATTTCATGGTAACAACAGAAATACAATATGCCTTGTCCATAGAGGAAATTTATCATCAACCTGTGCTCTTCTTTGTTTCAGATCAAACATACAGATAAATATTGGTAGGGTAGGGCTTCCTTCCACTACTTAAAAATCTCAAAACAGCCTCCAAATATATATAGTAAATAAAATATACCATATATTTAAAAGCCTTTTGATCAGTCACAGAACCAAAGGTATAGATTAAAAGGAATAGGAAATGGCAGAATAAGTAAACTTGAGGCATTATTATTATTGATATTATCATTTTAATGTGTTCTATCTCTCAAACTAGTCCTTTGAGTTTAGGGATTATGTCTTTAACTTCTTTGTATTTATTTTATTACCTGCCACATAGCAAGTATTTAGTGTTCTTTGCTGAATGATGGAAATAGTCAACCAGAGGTGGTATAACTAACAAGTAGATTACAATTTGAGTGGCGAGCACAAGAATTTGTAAAGAAAATGTATTTGAAGTGAAAATTTAGAATCTTTAAGGAACTGGATATTCTGCAGGATTTAAATTGAACTTTGATATTAAGGAAACATCTTCTAATTTAGAGAACTTTTTCATGTGATATTATATATAAAGTAGTTCCATGACTAAGAACATGTAAAAAAAATAATAGCAGTTATCTGGCTTCTCCATCAAATTTAATCTATGTATGGAAAAATGAATATAACCTAGAATTTTGAAGGGAAAAATTCAAGTTGATTTATCTGTCAGATTGACTTATAGTCAAAGGGATGAACAGAAGATACTTTTCAGTTCAACCAATTCAATGCCAAAGCTTCATAAACTCTCAAAATCAGTATTGATTTTGAGACAGATTTTTTAAAATTTGTTTTGATTTGTCTTAAACATGTGCATGTCTTTTGGGAAGCTGATTTGACTCTGACCCTTTCTCTTTTCTCTTCTCTTTCATTTTTGCAATTGGTCAAAGTCAGTGGTGCTTAAAAGTAATGACTCTACCATGTTAAAAGTAACTAGGCTCTAGTTACTGAGTCAGGGTGAATTGAGCCTTTCTGATCAGTGAAAATCCCCTTGTTCCTCCTCCTTAATCTGTACCATTGTATTGTTGGTTAGTGTAAGAATAAGGAGGGAAAGCTTCAAGTTTAATGAAATTTTAGATAGCAAGTATTCGTTAACCAGCATGAGAGTATTCAGAAAACTTTCTGAACATAAATTAAAGATAGACGTGCAAATAAATGAAGGAAACAAGCCAAAAATGAATAGTGGTTCTGGATGGTTATTTTTCTTTTGTGTATGTGCTTTCCAATATGACAGATTTTCTATAATATATTATTTTGGGCCTCCCTGGTGGCCTATGGGTTAAGTCTTAGCATTATCACAGCTACATTCGATCCCTAGCTAGGGAGCTAACCCACATATAGTGCAGCAGACCTCTCCTGTCTCACTCACTGCTCCCCTCACCAGTGTAGTTCAGTAGATCTACCTGTTCTGCTCCCCACTCTGTCTCTGGTGAATTCTTTCACACACCCCCATCTCTGGTTACACCCCCATTCTTCTACACCAAAAAAAGTCTAAAAAAATTTTAAAAAGTAAATAAAATATATTATTTTGATCAACAGAAAAAAAAGCATTATAAAAAAGGGAAATTGTAATCTTAGCCACTTTCCTTTCCCCTAACATCAAGCCAAAGGATTAGAAGCCCGAGAGACCTGTAGAACCTCTTCCTGAGGGTGATAACTGAGGTGTGTTTGGGCAGGTCAGGTAACCAGCCTGGGGCTCAGGTTCCTCATGTGAAATGTAGGAGTTTGAGTGCTACAGTCTCCTTCACTTCTCTAACATCCAAACTCTTTGATAGGTAAGCCATGCAGGAGATTGGATTAATCACAAATGCTTCCGGCTTCTAGTAATGGACATCTTGACTAACAGTGGCTTAAGTCATCCTATAAGAACTCTTGATGTTGAGTAAACAGAATGTTTGAATGTATTCCAGGACTGGATCAGTGGTTTAATGAGGTTATCCAGGAGCTCGTTCTTTTAAATTTTTCCTGTATTGTCCTCTTCAAATGTTGGCATTCATTGAGAGATTATTGCCTGTGGTTATAAGACAGGAATCATGTGTACAAGGAGAAAAGAAGAGGCAGAGGCAATAAGGTCTCCACGCCTCATTTGTCAGAACTGAGTAAAAGGACCGAGCTAGACTAGTCGCTGGCCAAAGGAAAAGGAGATCCTAGATTTGCATCAGACCAGTTATTACTATCTTATACCTCTGCGAGCAAAGAATAGTTTCTCACTGACCTAAACGGGTAAGAGTTCTATCTGCATGAAAGGAGAGACAGAGAGGGGATGGTCGTTGGATAGGAAATGGATGTATGTGACAAAAGCACTTGATAAAATTTTGTTGAACAAATGAGAGTAACATGTCGTGGATCCTAAAAACTTTTGCTTTGTGGGCCCCTTCCATTATAAAATGTGCTAAAATTTATATTTTACAACTGAATTAGCATGACAAAAGTCAGCCAGACTGCATTCATTGTTACGTGTTCATTATTATTATGCTTATTTTTTATTCTGATTTTAAAAATGAAAATTAAAGCATTTTTGTGGACAGTAGATACTGTGCCTACATATATGCCCAGTGGTAATTCAAGCCTGGGTCTATGTTGTATATCCATGAATTGTAGACACTGAGAGCCATGACAGTGTGTTACATTTCACTGAAGCCCTCAAGTCCCTATTGCATCACGATACATCGAAGAGCTGCTCAAAAAGTAGTGCTGAGGTGACCTAACATCTCAGTGTTCCTTCCTCTAGGGTGAGCCAGGTCCTCCTGGTCCTTATGGTCCTCCTGGAGCCCCTGGAATTGGACAGCAAGGTATTAAGGTAAAGATTACTTGTCTCTATGCTCGCTGATGATTATTGCATTTATTGTAGGGACTGGGGAGCTGTGACTTGAATTCTGCTCAGTCTTACCCTCATCGATGCAGGGGGGATGCTTATAATCTGGATGCTTGGACAGAGAAATGCTCTGGTCCAGGCACTTATGACATCAGTGATCAATGTGGTTTGTGTGTGTTGGAGTGAAAAACTTGCTGAATTTTAAATACCCACCATTTTTCCAGTGTATTTCTAGTTCTGTTGTATTTTCAAGGAACTTACATGTTAACATGCATGTTATTGGGATATAAAGCATCTTAAAGCCTCAACTATCTTCTGCTCTCATCATAATGCAGAGAGGCAGAACCAGAGGATCGTGACACTGAATAAGTAAATGTTGACAGAAACGATTTAGGGAACTAAAAATCACTGGACTGCCCAATACCTTGGGGTACTCTGCATACACAGAATGTAATAGAACAGAAACATTTATTTTAAATGGCTTTTCTATGTTTGGGGACAATACAACTTTCATGCAGGACTAATTTGGAGAATAGTGCAAAACTGTGCACTCCTTTTGTCATCAGGGATGGCATTTAGATAATAAGCACATGGAGACTTCAGAGAAGGTGGAGTTTATATTGGCAATGTTACTGGAAAATAATTCTGAAAGAGATTAAGCATGAAACTGAACTAAAAGGAGGGGTGAAATGGAAGAGAGTAGGGATAAGGGTGGCATTCCAGGATGGCAGTGAGAGGGCAGGGAACAGCATCACCCTTGTTAGCTCGGTCATCTCTGTCACCAAAATGAGTCAAAATGGCTGTCCGTCCTGACAATTACTACCCAATTGTTTCTGGAAGCTGAAAGGACTGTATTGGTTTTAGACAAGAAGAGATGATGGACATTTTAGGGTGATTTGTTCATTTAAATTCAAGCCATTTCTCCTCCTCTAATTTATTTTTTTATCGTTGTGGATGTGAAATGTTTGACGATTTTACTATTTATCTTTGCTGAAATCCCAGAGTATTTTGAGTTATGTTTATTCTTTATTTAAAAACTCAAAATTTTATTCAATTACTTTTTTCTCTTAGGGAGAAAGGGGCCAGGAAGGAAGAACAGGAGCTCCAGGTCCAACTGGAGTTGGTGAGCCTGGTCAACCAGTAAGTAGCAAAAGATTCTAGATGGGATAAACAGGACTGATAAATGGTGTGCATGTGTATGTATGTGTGTTTTGTGTTTACCCTTTATTTTATTTTTTTCACTTTTTGAAAAAGCACTTGAGATGTGATTTATAGACAAAAAGCTGTACATATTTAATACTATAACTGGATGAGTTTGGAAATAACTACATACTTGTGAAACAATCACTGCAACAATGCTGTAAATATAACCATCACCTGCAAGGATTTTTCCCACCCTCTTCATCATCATCATTTTTATTATTATTTTGTACATGAGTGTGTGAACATTAAATACAAGATCTACACTCTGCCAAATTTTAATTATACACTGTTGGATTTAGAAATAGAGAATGGTTTGGCAACAACTCCTGAGGCCTAGTTAGGCAATTCATATAATCCACAATCTGTGTAAAACTGAAATTCTACTTGCAATGTGACTCTGAAATAGCATTCTCAGTCTCGGGTTCTACCTCCTGTGCTATTTAATTTTTTATTGAATTAATATGTCACCCCACCATACCCACCACCAAAGCACCCACAGTTCTTGACAATAGAGTTCTTATGTGTTCTTTCTGGTTAGACAAAATCATTAAATTAAGACGTGTTGTGTCTTTTTTGGACAACAAAAGACAATAAATATGCAAGGACACATTTTTCATAATCTATGTGTTATGTCACATAATACACAATTAAACAGATTATCCAATAAGAGTTCACAAGTGTCAAAATTTCCTAAGATGTAGATGTACGGATTCAGGCCTAATGTCTACTCTAAAGTTGAATTTGCTGTAATGATGGAAAAGTTCACTAAGAATGAGCCCGTGCTCATTACTTAACCCAAGGGTATATACTAAAATTAGGATTAATCATAGTACACAGGTAGTACTGTGTTTTTTGCAGCTTCTACCATAAATTCCTTCAAAAGAGATCTGGAGAGGAAATAAATAAAATATGACTATTCTATATAAGAAGTTTCTTAGCTTTTCTTATAGTCATTGTTCTAAGAAAGAACAGTAGCTGAGTTGCTGTGGTACATATTCAAATGACTTATTGTGAATAGTTGATACCAAATTGGTTTTGCATTGCATGGTCTCACATGTGTAAATAGAAACAGAAACTCGTGCTTTCTTGCTGTACTCTGTGAGTCAGATGGCAGCATGTTATATTTGAAGGTTAGGCTTTGGCCTAATGTCTAGATACACTAATTCAAAAAGAGAGCATTTTATGAAGGGAAGATACAAAGAATTGCTTATCTAGAGGTCAGTGTCTCACCAGTTTATACTAACCAGTTAGTGCCCTTCAAGGTCAACCATTGGGAGAGAAGAAAACAAGCTCCCTGAAGACAATGCTGGGTCTTCATTGGAGGAGCTGGAAACCTAAAAAAACTAAAAGGACATTGGCTAAAAAGGTACAGACCCAGATAGGTAGCCATGTTTGGAGAAATATAGCACAAGTTTTTAGCAGGAATAAAAAAGTCTTTTCATAGTTCTGTGAATAAGTGGCAATAAAAATAAGATTCATATTTCTCTGCAAAACCACTATGATTTGTCCAAAAGAACCCTGGAATTTTGAAGCCAACACAAGACTTCCCCCACATGCCTATTTTTAACTTAAACAGTTGCTGCCTTGCTATTGAATCTAGGAGAGACTGTGTGGTTAGCCATGAGACAATACATGACCATATATGTTGAATTATTCAACATGAAGTGGATGTTATTTGTAACTTTAAGATACCATGTGCAGAAGTTCATCATTAACTCTTGAAGACACAAATAGTTACATGGGTATTTGATTTAGTGTCCCATAGTATCTACTCCATTGCTGCTTCTCTCAAAATTCATACTTACAACCCAATATATTGTATGACCAACTGGGTAAGGAACAACAAAATTGATCATGTTTTGCTGGCCTACTGGGAAACAGATTTCTATAGCATTATTTATCCTCATGAACATAGAGTGTGAAGATCTCTGTACCCTATGTGAGTGCTTACTAAAGAACTCCCTTTTAACAAGGCGAATATGGATACTCTTACTGCTTAGTGCCCAACTTGCAAAAGGTACACAGAAGCCACATATCACTTTTCTTTGGAAAAGGCCAACATACATGTAATATGTTGACTACACTGGAGCTCTTTCATAATGAAAATCCTCATCCTTGGAAAAATAATGCAAGGACTCAGATGGCCACAGTGGATGGGGAACAGGCAATTAATTAAGGATTTGCCGTTACTCTTCACCACTGAGGGACTTACTGAATATCTTTTCACCATCATTATAATTTCATATCATGGTGGGTCTAAATACTTTTAAGGTGAAATAGAAAAGGTAATGACCTCTCTCTTACTATATACCTCTAACTTAACACAAAGTAAACCCCAACTCCTTTGAATCTCTGTTTTATCTGTGAATTGCTGAATTACAAACTATCTCAAGACTTGGTGTCTTAAAACAACAATTTTTGTAATTAATTGTAATTAATTGGTTGTAATTAAGTGGTTGACTGGAGAGTTCCATATAATTTGAAGTTAGTTGAAGAGCTAAAATGATTGGAATATTCAAAACAGTGTCACTCACATGGCTGCCATTTCTCCAGTCACTGTTCCCATAATAGGTCACATTCATCACTACACAGTTAACATTTTTCCTTGAGATGAAACTTCTAAAATTTACCATCTTAGCAACTTTCAAGTAGGCACTACTGTATTATTATACCAGGCTGCACATTGCATCCCCATGGCTTATTTATTTTATAATCAGAAGTTTGTACCTTTGACCACACTTACCCATTTCACACACCACCGCACTCTCAATTTTGACAACTGTCAATCTATTTTCTGTATCTATGTGCTCAAATATTATGTAAGATTCCACAAATAAGTGAGATTATATGGTGTTTCCCTTTCTCTGCCTGACTTATCTCACTTAGCATAATGCCCTCACATCCATCTATGTGGTGGCAAGTGGCAAGGTTTCCTTCTTTTTATGACAGTATGTGTGTGTGTGTGTGTGCGCGCACACCTGCACATTACATTTTATTTATTCATCCAGCAATGAGTACATAGGTTGCTTCCATGTTTTGGCTAATGTAAACAATGCTGCTATAAACATGGAAGTTCTGAGAGCTTTTCTATTTAGTGTTTCTGTTTTCTTTAGATAAATTCTCAGAAGTGGAATTGCTGGATCTGATTCTGTTTTTTGTTTTTTGTTTTTTTTTTTGAGGAACCTCTATACTTTTTCACTGTATCTTCACCAACATTTGTGTATCTCTCTCTCTCTCTCTCTTACTCTCTCTCTCTCTCTCTCTCTCTCTCTCTCTCTCACATATATCTGTCCTAACATCTGTGAAGTGGCAGCTCATTATGATTTTGATTTGCATATCCCTGATGATTAGTTCACCTTTTCAGGTACCTGTTGGCAATCTATATGTATCCTTTGGGAAAAAATCCTCTGCCTATTTTTCAATATATATTTTGTATTATCTCACAGCTGTGCTTATTGTCTTAGCATACTGTCCTCTTTGCTTTTTTAAAAATTATTGAAGAACATTGGTTTATAACACTTTACAGGTTCCATGGACATGATTGTAAGTCAACATCTCTGTACTACATTATGTTTACCACTGAAAGTCTGATCCACCTTCATGATAAAATTGACCCCTTTTACTCAATGTACCCACCCATTTCCTCTTTCCCTTCTGGTAGCCACTAATTTGGTCCAATAATCTAAGTTTATTTTTGTTACATTCTCTGTCTATCACATATGAGTGCAGTCATACAGTGTTTGTTTTTCCTCTATCTGACATATTTTCTAAGTATAACACCCTTTAAGTACATCTATGTTGGTGCAAATGGCAGGATCTTGTTTTTTTTTTTTTTTAATAAAAGGGCTCTTTGTTTCTTGTATTTTCTACTCTTTTCCTAAGATATTAAGAATCTAATGTTTTATTTTGTTTTTTGATTCTCTATTATTTGATATTCTCAGGGAAGTTTATGTTATATTGGCTCTCTTTTACCTCTTATGAATTGTTTGCTTGAATATTTTGTATTTTTGTGTTTGAACTCATCGACAGATGAGCTTCAGTTATGAAAATCCTAAGTGTTTAATGTGGAAGGTATTTGAGGGGAATTTACATTTGCATCTCTAATGTACTCCAGGTGTATCCTTGGTACTGATGTCAAACTAAGCTATTCATGGATCAACTACATGAAGTCAGTTGAAACCCATATTCGGCACAGGACCAGGTTAGGGATTTTCAGGTGCATTTAGAGCCCAAGCCAAGGCAGACAAGATTCCTATCATTCATGTCACTGTGTTGATGGGATGGTTTTTTCCTGTTCTGCTCTTTCCTTGAAGATGTACACCTTTGAATGCCCTAGAGTTATGTGGGGATCTCAGTTCTTACTCTTTTCTCATTTTCCAGGGAGTGAGTCAAAGTCTTTAGTCCTGCCTTTCCCCAGCTTAGATTTCCTAGACTTATTCCCACCACGCAACCACACATTTCCAACCAGGACAGCTATAGCCATCAGCTTATGTACACTCCAGGCTAGCGTTCAGCTCTTTTTTGTTTTGCAAGCCTGTGGTTTTTCTTATTTTCTCTGGACCTCAAGTATGTTTTCAAAATTCATTTTAAAGAAAAATTTGTGTTACTTGCCACTCAGTGTGCAGCTAGAAATTTTTCACAATATTGCGAGAACATGAAATTCTTACAAAGAACAAATTCTTCTTTGTTTGCTTTCCAAGCCTCAATGACACATATCATAGTGATACTCTAATTTAATTGGGAACTGAAATTATAACAAGGGTGAAAAGGATCTCAAATGATATATGAAAATGTTCCACCAATGTGTCACAGTGAAAAATTAACAATATTGGCTTCTGTATTATTTAGATATAATATAAAGATGGGGATTACTCCTGAAGGGAGCAATCAAATACTGTACAAAATTAGCAATGATGTAAGAAATTAAATAAACTAATTTAAAAAAGACTTATCTTAGGAGTGACAAAGGTTCTACTGAAAACTTTTTACTTTTTTTTCTTTGCCGGAATCATTTTGAGTGTTTTCAGGCTTAGTACTATTCTCTTTTCAATTCAACAGTAGTAAAAATCTGCTGGTAGACTGAATTAATATGCCAGATCCATGACCTAACTGTCAACTATCATCTTTAATTAAATGATTAGCACTAGTTTTGTGCTGTGGGATAGAGGACTGATTCATGAAAAATAAATTGGTTCAGACTGTCAGGGTGACCTGTTTGTTTTTTTGCACAAGGTTATTCAGAGAGCGATCTGTAATTAGAATTATAGAATTCTGAATTAGAATTATAGTTACTCTGAGCCTAAAAATAAAGTTGATGGCACTGTTTGAATATTATGGATAGCTTTGATGATTTGGCAAATGTATCTTTAGTACCTGAAATGTATATTAATACCACTTTATAGATTAGCCTCCCTATTGAGATTATTAAAGAAAGTAATGGACAATCATATTTTATCTCATTGTTAACGTCTCAAATAAAACATTTTACTGATGAGACTGTGTTAACTGATAATTAGATTCCTCCATTATATATTTTTATTAGGAGTACTCATTAGAAGCAGAATAATATGTCATAGTTGTAATTGGGTCTCATGGTCTTTGAAAAGGACACTGTGAATTTTATAGATGCATTTCTGCCTTTTTAAAAATGTTCCATTGGTATTGTCTTAATGAACTAAAATCAAAGTTTATTTACCTAAGTATCTGTTCTTTTCTCTTCTCTGCATAATAGTCATCTTGCATCCCTGTTAAATTGGACAATCTAAGCATATACTGATGTTTTGGAATACAGCAGTCCTCTCTTATTCCGGAGGATGTTCCATGTTTGCCAAGGGATGCCTAAACCGCAGATAGCACCAACCCCTATATGTACTATGTTTTTTTTTTTCCTATTCATACATATCTATGACAAGGTTTAATTTATAAATTAGGTGCAGTAAGAGATGAACAACAATAGCTAATAATAAAATACAGCAATTATAACAACATACTTCAATAAAAATTATGTGTATGTGGTCTCTCTCTTTTTTTAATCTCTCAAAATATCTAATTATATGAAATATTTGCAGACTCTGGTAACCATAAACCTCTTAAAGCAGAAAGATGAGGAAAAGAAGCTACTGTATTACTTTGATGGTGCACAGTAATCCAACTTTGCATCACTGTTTGTTTAATGCCCCTGACTGTTCAAAAGCTTTAACTCTATTTTCGGCAATGTGGAACATGTGCCTCTCTGAAAAACTTCTATTAGTTTCATCTTAATCTAGACAGATATACTCTGGAAATGCAGAGAGGGAAGGAAAGTGCAGTGTTTAGTTTGTACGATATGCCTCTCTCCACATTGCTTAATTTAAACCATTCACTCTAAGTCTTATTTGTAAAAACTTCCATAAAAGGGTATTCTGAGCAATTGCAGGACTTAAGTAAAATAATTTTGATAATGATAGCTGATATCTATTAGATGCTTAATATTTAAGAGCTTAAATCTCTCTGACTTAATCTTTACATTAATACTTGTGGTTGAAGTAGGCACTATTGTCATCATCATTCTGATCAGTGTGCTGAACTTGAGAGAGTTTAATTTACTTGTTTAAGATTAACTGCTAATTTGTAGCAGAGCTGGGACCAAATGACACCAAAATCTGTTTTTAACTGTTTCGTGCAAGAACGTAAACTCCATGAGACAGGGACCACATCTGACTGCTGTTCTTGGAACCTAGCACAATGCCTTCTATCTACTAGACATTTGATAAATATTTGTTGAATGATTGAATGAAGAAAAAATTGAACTCTAGAAAGACTTTCTTTTATTTAAGTAGTGTTATTCTCACTTGTTATATCACTGGGGAAGAGTAATTTACCAATTTTTAAAGTTGAAGTGTGTGATGTTAACTAGACATTTGTCCCCTTTAGTTTGCAATCTAGTTTTCATGCTTATTTTTCTCCTAGCTAATTATGTTAACATTGTAGTAAGCTGTCATAGATAGTAGCAATTTATTTAAGATCTTGGATTGCTAAAAGCTAGATTTCCCATAAGCATAGTAATTTAAGTTGAATTAAATGGTAGTTAAAATAATAACATCTTTATTAAATTGGTTATGCCCAGAGAGTAACAAAAATTCTCTTTTACAATATACAATATTAGGAAAAGGTGGAAAAAACAAACATGGAATACAATTAGCTTTCTTTCTTACAGATCCACAGCTATAATCAGTCACTGATTAGCCTTATGCTGGATCCTAGTCCTGCTCATGCAGAAACCAACTCCTAAAATTCTCTGGGTTACTGCGTATCAAGTACCAAGATCATCCAGCGTTTGTAATGTGCTGGCTTTGGAGCTTCTGGGAATTCAGTAGATCTTAATCCATCATAGGTTTGTTTCCCCAGCAAGCCAGACCTAATTGTCTTTTTAGGTCCGTTAGTGGTAAAGGTCCAGTCTGTGTTTCTAAGATTCTTGTCGTTAGTCTGTTAATACTTTTTATACTTTTTTGGGGGGAGGGTCTTCTTGCCAAGAAGAAAAAGGGAAAATTTGTAGCTTTAAAATTCCTGGCTAACATGACGATTAGCTGTTTTATTTTTCAATTAGTATGTTTCCTGCTAGTCCACTTCAAAGCCTTGACTATGTTGTTGTCCTTTCCTTTTGAAAGAAGTGACTTTCTGAGCAACAGTCACATGGACTTCTTAAATTTAATCACAGAAAATCATGTTTCTCCTTAATGATTCTATCAAGATTCCTATTTGCTCATAAAGCTCCAATGGATTCAACCCATTTCTAAAGATTTCAAGTTGGAATCCAAATTTATCAGGCTAGCAATTAAAACAGAATTCAATACTTTAAAACAGCTTGCAGTGATCTCTTCACAGGACTTTTGGATAGTTAAATTATTAAATCACTGCAGGCTTCTTTAAGTCACGCAATCCTAAACTTTCAAACTTTCTTCGGAGGATTTATTTCCTAATCCTTATTCTGATGCATCATCTCATTTCCATTTTCCTCTAATTTGAGGACACTAGAATAGAACATCTTAGCCAGTCACATGGCATGAGTAATTAATATTTGGGGAATATTATTCTTCATAACGCTACACTTTTATTGATCAGTATGGAGCTTACTAGATAGGAGTCTCACAAATAACTGAAATAGGACTCTATCTTTGCCATGCACATGTGACCTGTAACAATAACCATGTCCTTTCTTCCCTCTTCTCCCTTTGTTCTTGCCTTTTTTCACTCTCTCTTTCTCTTCTCCTTTCCTGATCCCCTTTATCCTAACCAGGGTCCTCGTGGTCTTGAAGGAGCACCAGGAGAGAGGGGCATACCCGGAGAAGGATTTCCAGGGCCAAAGGTAACGATACCTTCTTCACTTGTATAAAGTGTTCTGTCTGAAATGTCACATTTTAAAAATTTGTCCTAGTCAAATATCAGCAGTTGCATTTTTTTCCTGACCATCTCCACCTGTTCAGTGAAAGAATATGCCCATTTCCCTTCAACATGAAGTGACAGTGAAATTTGCAATTATAAATCAGTAATCAAAAGACTTTTGAGTCTCCTTGGATGCCTAGGGGTTAAGTCCCAGCACTATCACCGCTACTGCCTAAGTTCCTGAGTTTGATGCCTGGGCAGGGAGCTAACCCACATGGTGCAGCAGAGCTCTCCTGTCTCACCCGCTGCTCCCCTCAGCAGTATATTTCAGTCAGTCTGCCTGTTCTGCTCCCCACTCTGTCTCTGGTGAATCCTCTCAACTCCCTCACCTCTGACCTGTACCCCAGTTCTTCTACCCAAAATAAATAAATAGATAAAGACTTCTACTTCATACAATTGCCACATATGAAATGAGAAAAATCAGTTAGTTTGGAGTTGGTAAAGCCACAGTGAAAAATAGCACCTTTATGCTCAGAAGTTGCTATTGAGTACAGCTATAACAAAGCCTTAGCATAGTTTGTTTTGTGACACATATATTAGAAAGTCTAATAAGCTAATATGTCATAGAATTGTTATCAGTGTAATAAGAAAGGAAATAGAGGTGAAGAAAGAATCTGGAGTTACCTTATTACGATAAGGAGATATATGTTAGGAAAAGATTTACCTTTTATCTGGCAATTAAGAATTTAAATTTTCCTGCTGCTTGCCATATATAATTCTTGGAGCTCAAGTTCCTTTAGACCAGCATTTGGCAAACTTTTTCTGTAAAGGATCAGAAAGTAAATTTTTTTAGGCTTTGTTAGCCATAAGTATCTGCTGCAATTGCTTAACTCTGTTATTGTATCACAGTCATAAGCAGTGCATACAATGAGTATGACTATGTTGCAATAAAGCTATATTTACAAAAAACAGGCAGTGGGGTGGATAGGGCCACAGGGCTCTATTTTGCTGTCCCCATGGTCAAGGCTCTTTACCCACAATCGGTGGCACATTTGCCAAAAGTCCTATAGGACATGATTTTCCAAGATACTTTGAGCAAAGTCAACAAAATTTCAAAGCAAGGATACACATTGGGGACCTTCTTCCTTTTATCAAGTATTTAACCCAAACACACACATACATGCTAATTCTAAGTGTCTAAGACCTTTCAATTTAGTCATCAGTCAGATCACTAAGATAGGACCTTCTCATCATGGCTTCACACTATAAAGTGTATTATGAGAAAACTGAGTCTCAACTAGAGAGAAATCAATTAGATAAAACAAATAATTCATATGAAGCTATGAGAGACTCCTGGGTTGAATTTTAAAGAGGTCCTTGTTAACAAGTTTTAATTTGTCATAAGACATGGAGATAATATACTAGATAGAGGGATATTACTAGGGCCCTTGATTAATCAAAGTATCACTCAGAAGACAGAGGCTAGCAATTTGACACTATATTTCAGAAAGTTTATAATATATAGTTTCTTGAATTTGTTTGGCATATAGTAAACTACCCAAAAAATCTAGAAAACTCAAGTGTCCAAAAATACTTCTCTTTATAATCTATTTTTAAGAAAAAGAAATAAATGAGGAATGAGTAAATAAAGAAACATATTGCAGGATATTTCTTAAAGATAGTTTCAACAAATTTATACTATATAAGATGTGATATAACTCCATATTCATAATAGTTCACAGCTCTGCATTGCCCTTTATATCATCAAAGAAAGAACATGTTATATTTGGTGTTGTTTTAGGCACAAGTGAATCTGTGGAAATGATCAGAAGCACCCATTGGGCAGAATATTTCCCTCCCCAAACCTCAGGACCAAGGGAAGTTTCCTATTGTGCTACATGAGGCTTCTTTACAATGATGTAGGGAATAAGTAAATTAATTATATAGAGACATGAAGCTCTGTTTTCATGTCTTAGTTTCTTGCAAATATTCTTTTATTTTAATCTTTTATTTATTTATTTATTTATTTATTTATTTATTTATTTATTTATTTATTTATTTATTTATACAAGCACTGGGTATAGTCAGAAGTGCGGGAGGGTGAGAGGATTCACCAGAGACAGAGCAGGGAACAGAACAGGCAGACGACGAAATACACTGCTGAGGGGAGCAGCGGGCGTGGCAGGAGAGGTCTGTCGTGCCATATGGGACCCTCACCAGGAGCGGGGGATGAAAACCGGCACTGCAGAGACTGCGGGCAGCTTAGCAGCCTGGCGCTCAACCACTGCGCCGCCAGGGGAGGCCCTGATTTTACTCTTGATTAAACTAAATTCATGAAATGAATGCTATTTTTGATTGATTTTATGTAGTCTTTTTTCATACAAATGCAGAAATGTTATGACTTCATTGATATTTTACAACTAGTTTCTGTGACTACAGAAGCATACCCAAGGAGGTTTTCCATGGATTCTTTTAATTAAAGTTTGCGATTATAAATTCTAACTAAAACATTTAATAAGTAGTCTAATCCTAGCAAGTATTCATATTCTGATATGTTTGGAACCAATTGCAGCAATGTTGAGGAAATGGAAGGTGATTAACTAAGTTGTACTATGTGATTGAACAGTCTTCCATTTTTTATTGTATTGAAATGGTGCTCTTTTCCAGCTTTAGTGCTGATGCATATTTGTCCTACTTGGACAAGTTACTAACCTTTGAGTCAGAATTTCACATTTACAGTGAGCAATGAACTTGCATGCTTTATATGCTTTAATTATTTTAAAATGCTGATTTGTATTAATGAACTGATATCTTTCCCATGTACTTCCAGGGTGAAAAAGGTTCTGAAGGACCAATTGGCCCACAAGGATTACAAGGCCTATCAATTAAAGGGGACAAGGTATCACAGATTATATAACAGAAAAATGAAAAAAAAATTATGATTCTTTAAGTATGTACATTTATGAACTGCATACAACTATACCACAAGACCACGGTTACCTAGTCAATTATAAATCAAGTATATGAAAGGTAAACTAAGTAGGATGAATTATGATCTAGAAAATCCTATCATATATATTTAGAGTAATATCTCCCTTATTTAGATTCCGATTCCCAGAAACCCTATCATTAGCCAAGCAGCCTTGAGGTCAAATAGCGAAAGATACCTCTTTTTCAGTAGAGAAGACAGTTGTTAAAAACATTTTGACCCTATTACAGAAGAGCATGTATTCTCACTCAAATATACTACCTTAAAACGGGGCTCAAATAAGGGAACTCATTTAAGTAAAACAGTGTTGCCTTCCAACAAGCACCCATAGAGATTCACCTAAAGTTGAACAAAGTCAGATTTATTGACTCATTGCTGACAGGGAGACCAGAGGGCATGAAGAAGGTATCTCAACTCAGTAAGAAGGAGTACAAGGATTACAAGGCCCTATATTTTAAAAAAATATAGAGGATTGGGGCTTGTGTTAGTTGATACAGGCAAGTTTTCATGAAAGCAAATTGGATGCTAACCGGAAGTGGGGACAATTTTTTAAGATCAAACATTTAAATGACTATTACCCAAGATATGGGAAAATGGAGCCAGGATTAATTGTAATTAGTGCAGAAATAGCAGCCACACATTTCATCCAGTATAAGGGGATGTTTGATAATTTTTTAGGGTGTGTGTGTACAGTGCTTGTGTCTGTCTGTGCTCAGGCATTACTGCAGAGTGGTCTTGCTCTTGTTTTGATCATCATACAGTTGACCATGTTTGAGATGATGCTCTGTGACACTCTTTATGGTCACACCATGCCTACCTGTAATATTTTTCTCTTTCTCACTAGTTACTTATTTTCTTTTAAATAGCTGCACATTGTACCCAGATTGGGCTGGGGACAGAAGGTACTGTAGGTCCTAATAAGCCCCTAAAGGCCAGTGGGAAAGGAAAGCTGCCAGAGAAGAGGGGGATATAAGTAACATGCAATAAACAGAGAACTCCTATCAGTTTAGAGTGAATTAGAAGAATATGATATTCATGATTTTCTTACATGCTGTGTTTCAGGCTTGAATTACTAGTTTCTTTTATTTACTAGTAGCCTTCTCTTTTGGACATCTGTATTTAAATGGCAGACACTTAAACAATGACTTATTCAAATTTTAGATGTAGTACGATTCTTTGTTCAAATAGCTCAGCTCTGGTTGCTATTTCCCTTCCAAAATACTCTAAAAATATGTTAAGATGCTCTTTTGTCCTTTGGAACAGTCAGAACTGTGTATGACTGAGTGGTTGTTTTATGATTTTAGAAAATTAACTTTTTCATACATTGTTGACAGGGTTTCTGTGTCTTCACATCTGGGGTGCATGCAACAAAAATACAATGAGTTATCAGGACATTATCACGTAGTGATTGCAAAGCTTTCATCTGCTATGCTTTTACCAAATCAATATTATTTTTACCTTTTTGCATATTTGTCCTTCTTGGACAAGTTACTAACCTTAGAGTCAGAATTTCACATTTATAATGAAATTCTTTTATATGTATCTTGGTACAAAGACTTTGGTGTCCCTCTTTCAAGTAATAATATAAACACCCACATGATAAGGGCTTTCTTTTTTTTTTTTTAAAGATTTATTTTATTTATTTATTTATACAAGCACTGGGTACAGTCAGAAGGGCGGGAGGGTGAGAGAATTCACCAGAGCCAGAGCGGGGAGCAGAGCAGGCAGAAGGACCGAAGTACACTGCTGAGGGGAGCAGCGGGCGGCAGGAGAGGTCTGCGCGCCATATGGGACCCTCCTCCGGTGGCCGCGGGTGGGGGGGACCCTCCTCCCATGGCCAGGGAGCAGCTGGGAATCGAACCGGTGCTGCAGAGGCTGCAGGCAGCTTCGCAACCCAGCGCTCAACCACTGTGCCACCGGGGAGGCCCGATAAGGGCTTTCAAGTACATATAATAGGTACAAAACAAAGAAGTAGTTTTGATGCATATATTTAAGTGTAAACCATAGTGCACACAAAAGTGGATCTCTGTTTAGTGTTTACTGTGTATTTGTACAATAGCGGTTATGAGTTGGATTTTGGAGTGAGAGACAGTACTTGAATCTTGCCTCTGCCGTCCAACAATTGTGTGATGTGGGGCAAGTTGCTTAACTTCACTTGGAGAATTAGGGATGCCCATGAAAGGGTTTTTGTTAGAGTTAAATGACACAAAGCATGAAATGCATTCAGCTCAGTGTCAAGTACATGACAAGCAATCACATTCTGACTCAGAATAATTTAGCTCTGAATTAGAACTAGAGTCCAGTACATTTCCTTCCATGGTATTATTTAGACTGGGCATTGATACAAAATGAAACACTAAGAAGAAGCACATTCCAGTGCATGTGTTAGGGACATGTTCAACATACATTTTAATCCATGAAGTATGTTCTAATCATATATTTTTGTTCATAAAAACATATTTATTTAGCCCAGGCACTGACAAACTATAGGGTTGGCTGCCTATTTTTGAAAATAAAATATTACTAGAATACAGGCACACCTGTTCATTTATGTTGTCTATGGCTGTTTTTTCATGACCAAAGCAGCAGTCATTAGTTATGAACGACCCTCAAGCAAATTCAGCTGTTTTAGAAAAAGTTTGCTGACCCTAAAGTAATCCAAATACAAGTGACATTAAAATAAAAGACAAACTCATGCCATTTATGGCAACATGGATGGAACTGGAAAGGATTATGCTAGCCGAAATAAGTCATAAGGAAAAAGATGAGTATCGGAGGTTTCACTTCTATGTGGAATATAAAGAAACTGAACAAAAGGTCAAAAGAAAGACAAAACTAGCAAGCTGACCATATATCTGAGGCATATAGCTGGGGAGGGGGAGAGAAGGATTCAAAACAGGGGAGGGAAGAGCACAAGGAAATATGGTGACAGTTCATGGGTGATGTGGTGGTGGGAGGACTATGGGGTCTACACCTGAGGGGAGAAACCACTGTACAAAAATGAACAATGAAAATTTAAAGAAACAAATAAAATGAACTTCTTATGGTGCTCAATCCAGTGGACAATTCTCAATGGTTAACTACTTGACTTATTGGTAGCCTCTGGTCCTCATCTTTTTGAAACAAGCTCTTCACTGGCTCTCTCTGACTGCACCTTCTCAATCCCCACTGCTGGTTCTTCATCTCTCTAATCTCTCATACTTATAGTGCCCAGAGTGCTCAGTCCTTGACCCTTCTCTCTTCTCATTCTACTTGGTAAACTCACCCAGTCATGGCTTTCAATACCATCTATATGCTGGAGGCTCCCATATTGTTTCCAGGCCAGACCTCTCCCATTATCTCCATTGGATGTCTACTCTGGGCATCTTAGACTTAACATGTCCAAAATGGGGCTCCTGATTTTAAGACACCATCCCCCTCCCACCTCACTTTTCTCTCAGATTTCTCCTCAGTAAATGACAAGTTTATTCTTCTAAAGATCTCTAAGACATCTTAGGGTTGTTTCAGTCATGAGCAAATCCCGTTGATGTTCCTTTCAGAATATATCCAGAATTTGAGCACTCCCCACCATCTTCACACCAGTATACTGGTCCGTGCATTCATCCCACCTCTTTCAGTCACTGTTCAATACACCTTCCCGATTGAGCTTTTCAAAACTGTCAGCTCTTTCACTCCTTGCTCAAAACTTACTAGCGGCTTCTTAGCTCATGAAAAGAAAAATCAAAATTCTTACTATGGTCTAAAAGGCCTTGTTGACCCTTCTGCCTGACCCCACTGCCATACCACTCTGACTACATCTTCTAACACGCTCCCTCCCGCTCATGAACTCTAGCCACATTTTGTCCTTGCTATTTCTGGAACATGCTAGGCACTGTCCTTGCACTATTTGCTCTGCCTGAAATGCATTCCCTCCACGTTTTCACCTGGTTCATTCCCTCTCATCAGTGAGATCCTCCCTATTCGCCTTATCCAAAACTGCAGCTGTCTCCCATTTCTTAACTTATTTTTCTGTTTAGCACTAATCATTATTCAATATACTATTTGCTTTATCTATTCATCTTGTTTATTATCTTCTGGTTTCCCTAGTAAAATGTTAGCTCTATGAGGTCTTTCATTTTACTGCATTTACCTTAGAAAATTTCTTAATTTTTAAAATATATTTTGAAAAAGATTTGAAGGTGAAAAAGGTAGATAGAAAATTTTATAACATTTTAATTCAATTCTCAAATTCTATTTTTCTCATACCCTCTGAAATTTATAGTTTTTAATATTTATGTTGCCATCCTAAGAGGAATTATTTTTGTCATTTTAAGAACTACTCCGGAATATTTTTGCTCTTCTGAGAAAAAAGATTGATCAATATAAATAAAAGCAAATTCTCATCAATTTAAATTAAGTATCACAAACATTATTCACTATTCCAGCAAATGTGAACTATATTTAAAAAAGAATGTGGTTTTCTAACTTTCTGGTTTTCTAGCTTTCTAACTTTTCTGTCTTATTTACCATACAGGGGGATTTGGGACCTGTGGGGCCTCAAGGACCAATGGGAACCCCTGGAATTGGGAGTCAAGGGGAACAGGTAATCAATGCTTATCCCGTCCCCTCAGTACAGAACATTCTGGACCAATCTTGGTGCTCACTGAAGGCCAGGACTGCTCACACCTATGAATACATTTAATAGTCAAATTACAATAGAAATGACATCATATAGTGAATATAAGGAGGAATAAGATGGTTTTATTAAAATTTATGTTTTAGAACTTTCAAAGATGAAAAAATAAACTGTATGCTGGTTGATGTAATTTTTAACAGTAAAGCTTAATTAACAGAGTAAGAGTTTGGGGGTAATAGTTCTAGTTTCTCTTGGGATTAATAGTTTATTGACCTGTTGGTTTGTATTTTTTTTTTTCCCTTTGAAGCTTTGTGAATGATTAAATTCCCCTGCCTCACAATATCAGCTGAGTGGTATTTTCCACTTGCTAGCCATGCAACAATCTAAAATGTATCACACTTAAAACAGAGGTAACCACTTAGTTTATGGGGCACCACTCCACAAATACCTGGCATTTATAAATGACACTTGGCTCCTCTTGGTGAGAAGAAAGGAGAGATCTTTGAGGAGGTCTCTACATTCATAGCTAGGGTTACTTCCAAGAATCTTTTGATCATAACTTTTGGAAAAGCTGGGTAATTTTGTTAGATCTAAATATGAGAAAAATTTAACAGTGCTATTTACCTTCATTGTTGATCATAGGCTTTTAGCTACATAACCCCACTTAATCATGTGACCAACATATCCAAATATATGCTGAATATCCTTCTCATAGGAAGTGGCAAATAAGTTTGATTAAAATTTTATGATTAAAATAATTCATAATATATGTATTATTCTGTTGCCTAGAGAATGACTACTACTTCCTTCATCTAGGATAGTGGGAGAAGAGAAGGATAAAAATTAAGATAATTCCAAATCCCACTGTTGACATTAACTCTGAGTTTTTTCTGTCTAATTAATTAGTATTTTTGTTGTTGTTAACCCAAGCAACAGCGAAGATGATTATTTCTCCTTTTCCCATTTCCTTCCTCTTGGCAGAGGTTCTAGTGTAATACATTAGGAAGATTAAGGTGCAGAAGTCAAGATAAATCTGTAAATATTAAGTGCTGGATATTTCCACTCTACAAGCTCACATTTTGTCAGTGCCACCAAGCATTTTCAAGCTTTGTGGTTTATTTGCTGATCTGATCCCTGAAGCAACTGGACAGCGCTGTCACATCCTGGGCCTTGTGGTGGTCCTGGCGCTGAGTCACCATTATGAGGCTGAAAACAACGTTCAAAGAAAGCCAAGTCTTTCCAGATGGCCTGTGATTCTCAACCTCCCACCTTCAGCTTCCTGTTGCCTTTAATGCTGGTTCTCCATGGAGGTTGCTGTTCTTCAGCTTGAAAAAAAAACCCAAAAAACAAAAAACTTCTGACATTTCATTTTCTCACCTCCTTCTTGTCTTTCCCAAGAGAATAAAACTTTTTAGGGGAACTTATCCATATCGATCTGGCTCCTGTTGAGGAGAGTGAATGGCATGTACTGTTTGTAAGCTGCTTTGACCTAGAAAAGAATTTGTTTGCCCTTTTAAGACAAATGATTTAAATTCTACTGAAGTCTAACCTCCATTTATTCGTTATTCACCTTTCTTCTTATCCTTAAGTTAATGTTTATCAACTGAATTCCTTATTATCCTGTTATTGTTAGATCTTCCTATTTTTCTTACAGAAATTAATTTCCCTATCATTTGTTTGTGAGGGATCGTCTGTGTCCAGCAACATGTTTATAATATCCCCCAAGTGGCCTGCAGATTTCCACTAAATATTTGGGGACCTGTCAACTTTAAGTTTTTAATGAACTAAAGTGCAACATATATAACCACACACAAGTGTATAAACACAGACACAAACACACACACAAACACATATCCCTTTGAGTTTCCTGTCCCTCTGTATGCTACTGTGGTCTACAATGAAGATCAGGAAGGATTCCATCTTATAACAGTTCAATAATTATATTGAAATTAGCTTCCTTAATTGGTTAGATTGCTTCATCTTCATCAACCAGAGAAAATGGGAATATTTGTAATTGAAAAATGAACAAACAGCTGTACCACCTATCGAGGGGAAAAGTCATGGCGTTTATAGTAAAATAATCATGCATCTGTAGCCATTATTTGTACAGTCATGACTTGGATATAAGCAATGGAAAATCTAAGTTTTTGCTCTCATCATCCCTTAATTTTTTTTTTTTCCATTGGGAGAAGGCTTTTCTTTTTCCTACAACAGAAAGAAGTTATTAACAGGTTATAGAATTTTCTTATCTCTTTAAGGTCATAGTAAGTGATAGGGTCACTCTAAGTTGCAAATTATATTATAATTGTGTAATAAAAATGATATAGTCAGTATTTCAATCTTTCTTTTAATCTTTACTTATCTGCAGAAGGCCCTGCAGGCAGAAGTGTGGTCCTTGGGAAGGAATATATTTCTCATCCCTCCCAGGGTGAATCCAGTATGGGAGGAGAGAGAGGAGAAGGAGATTCTTTCTTGGTTGGTCTACTGTCAAATGGCTTTGGGATCTCTGGTCTTAGGAGAAGTTTGATGCTGACACTTCCTCCAGGGCTCTTGCACTGGCTCTGGGACTGCCGAGCCTAGCACATGATGAAGGACTCTCGTCCTATAGTTGTTTCTCCCTGTCGCCCTCTGCTTTTCTGGGGATTTACTCTATCCTGACTCTCTGTTGGAGTGGCATTGCTCCTCCAGGTCCTCTTGGAAAGGATTCAAGACCGTTCCAGGTTTACTCTGCTTCATACCTCACATATATCTGGTTCACAGGAAAAAACCTTATCTGACCTGGTTGTACAGGCTGATCTCACCCATTTCTGTCTCAGCTCTCACAGTCCTTTTTTGTTTTCCATGCATGAGTCAGCCAGTAATCCCTGGTGACTCCAAGGCAAAGATCAAGGTCGCCAATGGTCTCACTGATGTTCCCTTTCTAGAATGGGGTAAAAAGCAACTCAGCCCCCTCCATTTTTTTCAAAGGAAAACTATTTATAAGATTACTTTCTTCAAAGAAGAACTTCTAAAGTCCTGTGTTGTTTCTTTTACTATATCCACAATATGAGTGAGGATCAGTGTTTTGAGCATTTGTCAGTTTGGTGACTGCTGAGTATTACTTCTTATGCACAGATCCAATCTTCATTATGACATCTTAATTTATATTGTGTTGTACAGTGAAGCATAGGCTTGCTTGCATGAGACCGAGATGTGAAATAGGTTAAGAAGATAAAATTTTATTTTTCTTATTGAAACCACCAAGATGATGTGGTAGCTCCATTCATCAGAGTATTCACCAGAGACAGAGTGGGGAACAGAACAGGCAAATTGACCAAAATACATTGCTGAAGGGAGCAGCGGACAAGTCAGCGGAGGTCTGCGGTGCCATGTAGGTCACCTCCCTGGCCAGGGATCAAACTGGTGCTGCAGTGGCTGCAGATAGCTTCATAGTGCTGCGTCTTAACTCCTCGCGCCACCAGAGAGGCCCCAGGGACTTTTTATTCTTTCTTCATTCCTGTTAGTCTAATGTGTGCCCACATGCTCCATCATAGCCACCATGTCTGAACTTCAGTTCCTGAGGAAGGGGGGTAGGGAGGGAGGAAGATGATCTCTTTCTTTAGCATGAGATGGAAATTGCAAACATAATTTCCATTCATATTCCACTAGCCAAATTCCAGTCCACATGGCAATACCTAGCTGTAGTAGGGACTGAGAAATCCGGTCTAGGTAGCTATGTGGGCCAGATTAAATTTCCCTTACTATGGATAAAGGGGAGAATGCCTATTATGGTTCAACTAGCAGCTTTAGTCACCCCCATTTCAACAACTATGTGTAATCTATAATAGGATATGAACTAAATTTCACTCTAGAGGATTTGAAACTATGCTTACCCATTATTAATTTCATTAATACTATTTAAAAATTCTTATTTTAAAGGGAATCCAAGGACCTGTTGGTCCACCTGGTCCTCAAGGACCCCCAGGACAAGGCTCACCTGGTCCCAAGGTAACTTTTTAAATGACAGCAGAATGTAACATATTACAGTCTAATTGCTGGGGGGGTTTTGGATGGCAGTCAGTGCGTTTAGAAGGCAACAGATGAAATGAACTTAAAAATCCTACACCAAACACTTAAAAATAAGACCTGAAACCACAGAATATGAAGAAAACATAGGCAAAGCACTCCATGATATTGGCTTCACTGATGTCTTTGTGGATTTGTCTCCAACGGGAGAGAAACAAAAGCAAATATGAACAAATAGGACTCCATCAAACTGATAAGTTTTCACAGTGAAGGAAACTATCATTAAAATAAAAAGACACACTACTGAATGGGAGAAAATATTTACTTATGATACATCTGACAAGGATCTGATGTCCGGATCTATAAAAATTTCATACAACATCACAAAAAGGAAACAAATAACCCATTCAAAAAAGGGCAGAAAAGCTAAATAAACACTTCTCCAAAGAAGACATACAGATGGCCACCAGGCACATGAAAAAAATGCTCATCGTCACTTATCCTCGGGGAAATGCAAATCAAAACCACAATGAGAGGCCATCACATGCCTATGAGAATGACCCATGTCAAAAAGACTAGAAACAAATGTTAATGAGAATGTAGAGAAAAGGGAACCCTTGTATGTTGTTGGTGGGAAGGTAGATTAGTCCAGCCCTTATGGAAAACAGTTTATGGTTACTTACTATATTAAAAATACATCTACCATATGATCCAGCAATTCCACTCCCAGATATCTACCCAGAAAATACAGAACACTATTATGAAGGGATATATGCAGCCTATGTTCATCGCAGCATTATTTATAATAGCCAAGTATGGAAACAACCTAAGTGTCCAATGACAGATGAGTGGATTAGAAAGATGTGATATATTCAGCTACCAAAAAAAAAATAATAACTTTTGCCATTTGTGACAATGTGGACAGAACTGGAGTGAATAATGCTAAGATAAGTCAGAAGGAGAAAGACAAATGCCAGTTGGTTTCACTTACATGTAGAATATAGAGAAACAAAACAAAGGGTCAAACAAAGTCAAATTCTGACTCGAGAATTGAGGCTACCGGAGCGGAAGAGAAGGGTAAACAGTAGGATATGGAGGGTCTCAGTGGGCTAGGGTGGAAGACTATGGGTGCTGCGGTGGTGGGTGTTGTGTGATAACATACATCTGAAAAGGTGTGATTCTGTATCTCTAAGTCATATATAGTGCTGTACACCAATGTTACCTCAATAAAAAATAAAATCATAGTTGGAAAGTAAAAAAAAAAAAAAATCAGAAAAATTTACTTAATATAGCTGGTGCTGGTATTCTCAATAGGTTAGCTACTGTAATATGCACTCTTTGTGTTCTTAGGAGCTTTTATTTATCCAATTAAAAAATTTTTGGTTACTTTTACTTACAAAATTCTATTCTTGCAACTCAAGCAGCAACATCAGTAGAGACTACCAGTGGTTACATGCCTCTCTGAATTGGCTAATCTTCATTCTCACCAGTACTCTCACAGTAGGTCCAAATACTAAAGATATGGAGTCGTAAGTAACCTAACAAATAAAGACTCTCTATTAAATGGGAATTGAATATCACTTAAATTAGAAGTATTATTTATCCCTTGAAGAAAGGTACAACACTTATTTAACTAGTTGACCTTAATGTTGCTTCAAAGATTCACTAATCTTTATTGGATAACTATAATACTTTTCTCATAGTCCCCACCCTTGGAAAATTCCTTAGTGTCTCTGTAAAAATTAGCTCAATAGAATGCCATTAACACTCCTTGAGATTTTTTATTTGAAGTTCATCACAGAAGGCTCAATTACTCTCTCTGATTGTGATACTGCACAGCAGTCACTTTGGCTTCTCATATGTCAATTTTAGTTGTTCTGGAATATAACCGTCCTCCACATGGGAGCTCCTTAAAATCAAATTTGAGTATGCTACCTATTCTAGAGCCTATATTTTAAGCCTATATTTTATGATACCTATCCTATAGCCTATCCTATAGCCTATATGTCTGAAGGAGCTTCAGACAAATATATTTTTCCTTAAAAGTGTATATTTATACTTGAATATACATATATACACATATGTAAAGTGAGTAAATTGATGAAATAGTTTTATCTTTAGTTTGTTGATATAAGACAGCACTTTAGAAGATCAAAGGTAAAAATATATTATTTTTATTTCACAGCTACAATCAATTACTCTTCAAGTACTCTTTCCTCACTAGGGAGAAGTAGGCCAGACAGGACCTACAGGTCCGAGGGGACCAGTGGGAGTTGGAGTACAAGGTCCAAAGGTGAGTTAACTGTGCTGTTAAGAAGCTTCTAGATAATTTAGGTAAAGTCTTATTTATCCAAATGCAATACACCAGATTATTTCATCAAATTATTCAGAAAAGGAATTTATGCTCAGTATAACTCCATAGTTAGAAAAACCAAAATGTTAACTTATTTTAATGACTGCTATTTGTTTTTATTCATTTATTTATTAGCATCTCTTGGCATAGAGGGATACCTTAGGTACATTATTAGCTGTCATATTATAAAACATAAGTACCTAGCATAGTAGTGTTTCAGTAAGTTTACTTCCCTTCTTTTGTTTTGCAACTGACTCCTTGTCATCCTCAGAAATTCATTCCCTAAATCTAAAGTATGTCCCCCTCACTCTGGTTACCCAGTTAGTTTATACCTTGGCATGCTGTGTGTTTCTCTCACTTTTCCCATTTATCTCAACTAGCATGTTTTTGAACTACTTTTCATCTTACTATAACCTCTAGAAATGTACTGTCCAAAACTGCAGCCCCTAGCCACAAGTGGTTAATAAATACTTGAAATGTGGCAGATATTAACTGAAATGTGCTGGTATATAAACTGCATTACAAAGTTTATTACCAAAAATAAAAAACTATATCATGAATACATTTGTATATTATTTGCATATTGAAAAAATGTATTTCTAATACTTTAGAGTAAGTAAAAAAATACTTATTTGAATTATTTTCATCTGTTTCTCTTAACTTTGTAAATGGGACTACCAGAAAATTTTGAATTATACATGTGACTTGTTTTGTATTTCCATTGGACAGTGCTGCTCCCGTGGGGCAGGGATGTTGCTTCCTTGTTAATTATTGAATCCTCAGTTTGGGGACATAATAGGTATTTGATAAATACTGCTGAATAAATGAATGAGTCCTTACTTAACCCTTCAGTTTCTATACTATCTTGAAGGTCTATGGTCCGATGAACCATGCTGAGAATTAAATTTCACTGCTGTCATTGTCATCATACTTACAAATAATTTTGTATTAAAAGAAATTGTAAGATTGGGATCTGAGAAGGTTATGCCTGTTACGTATTTAAAAACATATAATTACAAGGAATAAAAATGTAGTAATATAGTAATAATTGCTGCCACTTGTTGAATGGGCTTGACATGCCATAAAATGTGCTAAGTATGACATATGTCTATACATGTATGTAGTATATATATCTACATGTCTACACATTTGTCATGCATATGTTAATTTCAGAGAGGAAATATAGAGCATTAAGGCTCACTCATAAGACTACCTCTGTTCAAGTTCTAATTTCATCATATGTGTAGTTTCAAGCTCTCACTTAAAAAATTATATATTTCAAAAATACTAGAACAGAGCATAACACAAAGAATACCCATATGTTCCATAACACAACTTTATAAAAATGAACATTTGGCATATTTATTCTAGACTTTTTTTTTAAAAAGTAGCATTACAGAGATAGCTGGAGGCACCTGCCTGCTGTTGCAGCCCCCACATTCCTCATCACCTTCAGATGACATCATTCTCATGCATTTGGTGTTCATCATTACTTCAAAGTTTTATACTTTCCCCCATACTTTATCTATAAACCATGTATTCTTTTTGTGTTCTGAACTTTGCATAATAAAGTTATGTAAATGATACATAATAATGTATCATTCTGCAACACATTTATACCCAAATTTGTTTGATTTGTAATTTTAGATGCCTCTAATTCATTCATTTTAATTGCCCTGGGTACGTTATTGTATGAAAATATATCATTTTATATCTATCCATTTTCCTGTGGATGGGCACTTAAATTGCTTGTCATTTTTTTTTTTTGCTTTTGCCAAAAATATTGCCATAAACATTCTTCTTGTTTCCTTTTATGTAAGCCGCAATACAAGTTTCTCCAACTTGTATCTACAATTAGAATTGGAAGATCACAATAACCTGCCAAGGTCAAATAATTTAATGGCTATTAATTCCTATTTAGACTTCTCACCTCAAAGACTTTTCTCAGACAATAATGTATATCCAATAATAAGGACCACAAAGGCAGCCCCTTTGTGGTGAGTGACACGAGAACTTCTGAGAAATAAAGCTTTGCTCATCCACTAGGGGGCGCCAGGCTCAACGGGGTTTCCAGGACAGCCAGGAGTACCAGGGGAAGATGGAGCCCCAGGAAAGAAGGTAATAAGGGTTTTCTTATGATTGTAGTAAAAATTATTGCACCACACTGATATCTTGATCTTAGGGGAGCCTAGTGTAAGCTGCCCTGGATAAATTTAGTTTTCATAAGAAAAAGAAGTCTCACAACTCTAAATTTTCCTTTCTCAAGTTCAGATAGAAAAGCTGAGTAGTGACTCTTGCCTTCTGCTTTCTCTCTGGTATTTTGACCCTTGTATCCTTCAGCAACCTAATCTCTTTGGGAATCCTAGAAAGCACTGACATTCTGCAGGGGAGGACGAGGCAGAGGGATTGAGACCGGGCGGGAGGAGCACAAGGGACTACGGTGATGGCGCACCGGTGAATTGGTGGTGGGAATTCTACGGGGACTACACCTGAGAAAAGAAAGCAAACACTGTAAAAAAAAAAAATGATGAAAAATGAACAATGATATAAAATATATATAAATTTTAAAAAATTAGAGAAAATTCTCCTCCAAAAGGAGAATCTGTAAATGCATTCGGGAAGTAAGACCATTATAAAGACTTCCTGAAGTATTTTTAATTGACATTTGAAATATTCACTTTTTGATCTAGGTAGTGAAAAACAGCAGATGGAAAGGCTGAAGGTCTTTCTTATTTTTCTTTTTTTAAACCACAAACCACCAAGTGAATGAAGAGCCAAAGGAAAGCACGCTGACAGGTCTAGAAATTGGCTGAGAAATTAGACCTTTTCATGCTATTTCAGCTGCTCTGAGCTAAATTGGAGTTTGATGTGAATTTATTCAGGTTGGTAAACTTCCAAATTAATTTTGAGACTGAGCTAAGGTCTGGTCTGTTTTGGAGGGTCTCAACAAAGAATCACCAGGCTCAGGAGAAGATGAGGTGGACTGACACATTCTGCCTGGGGAGGGTCAGCTCTGACCTCAGTGTCCTTTCCTCTAGGGAGAAGCAGGGCTTCCGGGACCAAGAGGCCCAGAAGGACCACCTGGGAAGGGAAACCCAGGTTCCAAGGTAAGGAACTGACCCTGGAGGGAAGTGCATGGCCTGTTTCAGGTCCTGATATTAAGAAGCCAATCTAGGGCCTCCCTGCTGGCCTAGGGGTTACGTCTCAGGGCTACCACCACGGGGGCCCTCCCTGGCAAAGACTGAGTTCGATCCCCAGCCAGGGAGCTAACCCACATGGCAGAGTAGACCTCTCCTGTCTCACCTGCTGCTCCCCTCAGCAGTGTATTTCAGTAGATCTGCCTGTTCTGGTACCCATTCTGTCTCTGGTGAATACACACACACACATACACACACACTCCTCTGGGCCCACACCCCTGTACTTCTATGCAAAAAAAAAAAAAAAAAAAAAAAAACCCTTACAATAAATAAATAATTCTTTAAAAATATCAATCTAAGAGAAAATTAATTGTTCTTGTTATGCCAAATGTTTACTTTTTTCTTAAAATTATGACTACTACCTTGTGAGCAAGTACATATTACTCATTTTTATATTCTTAACATCTGTCATAAGGCCCAGCTTAATAGCTCGACACATGTTTTCTCCATATATATCCTGACTGACATTTAAACACATTAGAAGAGAAAAGCAGCAATGAGATACATCCTTGAGACTTAAAGTTCACACATTTTCTTCAAATATTTATAGCCTCTCACACAGTAATAAGAAATACCACTTTATTAAATGGAGTTTCACTTTCACAACTTGGATTAAATTTATTTTACACATTGTCAAAATGCTAGTAGGATGACATCTTTATATGTCAAGATAAGAATATCCAAATTCATCAATAAGACCATTAGGATAAGTCTTATAGGCGCAAATGTACAGTTGTTTCTGCAGCTTTTACATAGTAATCAATGCCTATATAAAGAACTTGAAGACTTACCTGAGTAAAGTAGACATAAAATCTGTATACTTCTTAATGTTCTATTTATAATTCTATTAAAATATTGATCAATAACTTAAAAAGTCTATGTGTTATGAAAATACTGACTAAAATTAAATCATTACCTTAAATGTGAGGATTTGAAATTTAAATATACTTTTGGAATTTCAAAAATTGTAATTTTTTTACTTAACAGATTATGAGATCCTTGTTTTGGGGGGTGGGGGGAGGTAGGAGAGAAATGTTGACAGAGAATACTTATTTAACATCATACCGAAAAAAATTTTGGAAATATTTGCCTAATATCATTAGGAGGAATAATGATTTCTAGAATATACTTTTGGAAAACAGACCTTTGGAGTTAGTAACTAAGTTGTGAGAAAAAAGGATGTCTTTCTGAGGAAGAGAACTGTGAATGTCTCAAAACCACCTGTCAATAGCCGAACAGTGGAAAAAAAAAAAACAACAAAAAACAAAAACTGTTATTCAAATAAAAGTCTCCAAAGAAAGATACTGAACTCATATTTAAAAAAAATAAATAAATCACCTTGATTAAGTGGTGAAGAGTAAACAATTCCAATGTCATTCAACCTGCTCAGGAACATTGACAAACCCACGGCTTCCTTGACCCTCCCTGGCCTGGTTCCACTGGCCTGTGAGTCCTACTTTAATTCTGTTCCTCTTCTCCTCAATAAACTTTTTCTTTCTCTAAAAAAAAAAAAAAAAAAAAAAAAAATTGACAAATCCTATAAGCTGAGCTGGCATAGGGGCATATCACTTAAAGTTGATGATAGTTGAGAATATGGCCTCAATATGGTGGTTGTAACATTGAGGAGGATTTGTTAATGCAAGTGTATTTTTATAATTATTTTGTCAGGGTGATGAAGGAAAAAAAGGGAGCAAAGGAAATCAAGGACAGACGGGATTTCCAGGGCCTGAAGGGCCAAAGGTATGTTTCTTATATTCTTACTTATGTTTTGGGGAGATGTGATTGTGCCTGGTTTCAATAGAATATTAGATTTCCTCTGCAAATTAGATTCCCTATTTCCTTTTCAATAAATACAAAACAAAGCCCCCAAATGAAGGCACCTTTGGAAAACATACTGTTCTAGACCATGATAGAATGGAATAGATTACAACTTGTAATCTTCTTTGGAGTAGATACGCTTCTAGGAGGGAATCTGTCAATCTTTTCTAGTAACAATCAAATATTCAGAAGTTGGGATAAAGCCAAGACTATGTGAGATACCAATTTTCTATTATGTTTTGCTGAGAAACCACAAAAGTGCCAGACTCAGAGGCAGCACAGTATGATGCTTCCGAGGGCAGGAGAGTGAGATCTTTTCCTATTCCACCCTGAACTTTCAGGGCCAGTACCTGCAATCACAGAAAGGAGGCAAGACTAAACATCAATAAAGCACTTAGCACAGTCCCTGGCCCATAGTAAGCGTTCAACACCTGGAATTATTCAGAAAGAACAAAAATTAATATTGTGGAATGAAAGTGGTATATATACACCCTGAAAAACCCACCAAGATGGGATCAGGGTGCTCAGGAAGAAGTAAAGAAAATTTTGAGACACAAGATTTGGTGTGTGCCCTGACTGAGCAGGAGAGAATATTCACGCCATATGGATGTATCAGGAAACAGACACTGCAGACCTGAGAGAATTCAGACCTTATTATTAAAAAGAGACAAGGGGGATAGTCAAGCACAAGACTATTTAGGAACAACTGAGAAGGGGACCCATGAGACAAGAGTAGGTAGAAAACAAAGAATCCCCTGCAAACCAGTGATTCTTGAACTTCAGTGCCCATCAGTATCACTTGGGGAACTTGTTTCAAATCCATTTCTTGGAGTCATGCCAAAGATCTGGACTTAGTAGGTAGGTGAGCCTCAGGAATCTGCATTTCTTATATAATCACCCTCTACTGCAGGTAGTTCAGGAGCACATGAGAAATAAATGAAATGTGTTGTACATAATAATGGTTACTCTCTCTGTTTTCATTACTCTTACACAAAGTGACTATTTTTCTCATTTTGAAATAAAGCTTTGTTTGAGGTAAAGAATAATGTATTTCAAAGCACAATCACACCTTAATATGAGGGCTATAAAAGAATTGCATAGTCTCTATGTCTATAATTTATATACTTATAATCCCCCACCCTGGATCAAAATCTCAGGGGCTGAAACTCTGGACTCCATTTTACCAAATTCCTCTGACAATTTCCCTTCTCCCTAAAATTTTTTTAAATTGTAGGTTTTTTATTGAAGTAGCAGTTTACAACACTACATATGATTCAAAATGTTCCCCTCTTCAGATATATGTCACCACACCCACCACCAAGGTACACATAATCCTCCACCATAGACCATTGGACTCCCTTCCCCCTCACCCCTCGCTCCTATCTCCCCCTCTGTTAGTCTGAATTCCATCATCATATATTTCTAGCATTTGTTTGGTTTAGTTTTGTTTAGTTTTCCCCTATATTCCACTTGAGTGAAATCATATGATATTTTTCTTTTGCCTTTTGACTTACTTTACTCTGCATAATCCCTTCCACTTCCTAAAATTTGTGAATCACTGTTCTAGAGCCAGCCAGGACAGAAATATTGCTTATTGTTCCATATTGAGCTTTACTGAGACTCAATATTGAGAAAAAATTAATAAATGTTTAATTTTTCTGCTTGAAATTTCGGCAATTTTTTTTTATCATAAACTCTCTACTTCTATAAAAGAAGGGAGACAATCTACAATGGAAGACTGATATGATATGGACCATAGGATAAAATAACAAAGGAAAAGGTTATAAATAGAGGTACGTAATTTATCTACAAAGTGTACCAAAAAAGTTAAGCTGACGATAAATTGTAATAATAGAACAATAATTTCCCTCTGAGCTTCCAGGAATACAACACAAAAGAGAAACACCTGAGTTACATAATTTTTATTAACTAATAAGGGAATGCACAAGAAATAAAAATGTTCTAGTACTCAGGAACTAATTGAATGCATTCATTGAAAGCACTGAAATCTTAATCATCAACCTCAGAGGTAGTTTAGCCAATATATTCAAGTATTTACACATTGGTCTATGAAACATCTTAATTTTTAAGCTACTGGAAATACAATTCTTTGTGTTATCCAATATAATTCCAAGATGTGGTTTCTTTGCTTGAAATGTAATAAATATTTTGTGTTCTTTTTTAATAGGGTGAGCCAGGGATTATGGGCCCTTTTGGATTGCCTGGAGCATCAATTCCTGGACCACCTGGGCCAAAGGTGGGAATATTCTTGTGAATCTTTTCTTCCTTTACGTGGATATTTGGCAGTTGGGAGGGGAGATTCATATTACTCATGAACTAGAATTTTAGTTTTGAAATAATCCCAAAAAATGATCTCGTTCAACCCTAATGTTTCACAAATAAGCATACCAAAGGCCAGCAGCAAATTTAAGAATAGAAACCAGATTTCTTGTTCTTGGTATTGAGTTTGTCACCTCATCTTTCACTGCCTCCCAATTCCTAGACCCTAAAGCAGGTAAGAATTTGTTGCATTTATTCAGAAGAATCTACTAGGATTTATAATCTCAAAATCAAACTGAAAAAGCAATCCACTCAGAATTAAGAGCATGCCAGACGTTCTTAAAGTTGAAATATGTGAGTTTAGCTAGCCCCCTATTATTTCAGGATACTGTCTCTAAACAGCTGTAGTAGCCCTAACTGGCAGGTTTTATTTTCTTAGGATATGAATTCAAATATATGGGGAGAATGTACTGTCTCAAAGTCTGAGACATTAGCTTAAGCCTTTTTACAACTGGCCAATCTTTTGGCCCATGCCTTTGTAGTTCCTCACACAAGCTAAAGTCTGAAACTATGAACGTTATTTGAAATGTATAGGGAGAGAGAGGAGGACTCGGGATGCCTGGATTTAAGGGAGAACCTGGACTTTCTATTCGAGGACCAAAGGTATGTTTCATTCATTTTTTTTTCTACTAATTGTGAGAGAACTGTAAGTTGGTTTAAAGCATACTAAGTTAGTGATTGAGAGTGGCCTATTCTCAGTTTCTACATTGATAAACTCAAATGTAAGCTTCCATAATTCTCCTTTTAAACATTCAATCCATCAGATCATTTATTTTTCATAAATGTGGGAGGTGATAGTTCCTATGGTCAAATATTTGCTGACTAAACAGTTGTTTGGAAATGCTCTTTTGTAATATCTCTGATAAAAGACATTATATGGCCTTTAGTCTCTTTCATTTACATATTAATGACTGTTGTATCTCTTCTGGAAAATACTGTCCAACAACTTCATGTGGGGAAGCTTTATTGAATAATATTTTTCCTGCTTTGCTGTTCATTTTTCAGGATTATTTTAAATGAAAATGCAAATAGGAGAGGAGAGGATTTTAAGTAATCGCATCTATTTTTCCTTAGTGTCAAAGCCCCATTATCTTCCTCATACAAAACACTGAGCAGCACAGCAATATTCAACTTTTGCTTTGTCAACAGGTCCACCCTGTTTATGAGAACAGGCTTCCGGGCTCCGTCAACAGCATGTTAAATTAGTAGCATGTTGTTATGTAGCCCTTACTGGCTTTACTTCTCCCATAAAAAACATCTTTTCTATATAAAGTCATTCAAGTAGTAACATCTGTGATTTTCACACATACACACAGAAAACTTAGAGCCACCTTGCAAATATAATATAAAACCTACTGTATAAAACTGATTTAAAAAATAATAATAATAAAAAAAATAAAAAAATAAAACTGATTTAAGTTGGAGTGGATCTCCTTGAAGGTTGAGAGGGATCCCAATCCTCCAGTGCCCTTTATCACTTTAACAGGTGCCCTCTGCTGGGGGCAAAGGAGGTTCCCTGGATGTGGGACTCTCAAGTTAAAACTAAGAATGTCAGGCCTCCCCGGTGGCGCAGCGGTTGAGCGCTGGGCTGCGAAGCTGCCCACAGCCCCTGCAGCGCCAGTTCGATCCCCGGGCACTGGCGAGGGTCCCACATGGCACGCAGACCTCTCCTGCCACCCGCCGCTCCCCTCAGCAGTGTACTTCGGTCCTTCTGCCTGCTCTGCTCCCCGCTCTGGTGAATTCTCTCACCCTCCCACGCATACAGTGCTTGTATAAATAAATAAATAAATCTTTAAAAAAAAAAAGTGAAGCCAGAGTTTGGAAGCCATAACTGTTTGTTACTGGGCGCTGTGGGTGATGTGGGATTTAAAGTTGTCTGCCCTTTGGCCTCTAATGATACTGTTTCTGCCTTTCTTCTCTAAAGTCTCAGGTTTTAATCTTTAGGAGTGTTAAGTGAGTGATGAAATTTTTGGTACATTAATTAAATCCTGTATATTATATCAGGGAGCTACCAGGTTACCCCTTAAAACCTATTTTAAAATACTAGATTAAAATATCTGCCTTAGTTTTTATTGAAAGAAAGACAAGTCAGAGTGAATCACCCTGCAGGATATTTTGTTGAATCTAGTGCAGAAAGATCAAGTGGCACAACTCCAACGATAAAAATATCATGAAGAGTCCAAAATAAAAATCTAAGCATGAACACTACTCTGATCCCTAAAGCCCCCCCAATATTTCCCATTAACATATGAATAACAACAACAACAACAACAAATACTGAAATTTTTGCAGGAAATAGGACAAAGATTTTGAGGGGAAAAATGTCTGTAAACCATGAATATTTTAATGCCCTTCATTTCCCCTACTTCCGTGTGAGTGCCAGAGGTTAAGCAATAACAGCTGTTAATAATTTGTTATGTTTGAAAATTAAAGATAAAAACTGAAAATGAATCTTGATTTCAGTTTTCGTTCCCTTTCAATTTTCCAGGGAGTAGTTACTACTTTATTTTGTAGCTCGTCCTCTCCTGGGATAGCCATAGAGAGAAAGGTTCACCTTATTTTGGATGATGTCCTGTGTCCAATGTCCCATAGTTGGAATAATATGAGCAATTGCTTCTCAGAAGTGACCAGCTGCTTGTGATAAACCAAAATTTCCCACATCAGAACTTTTTTGCTCTCTTTTCATACAACTGTAAGAAATGATCTTGGGTTTTGGTTGCTAATAAATAATACATTAACTTTTCATTAACATTAATAATATTTATTAACATTAAGTGGCCACAGTTTCTGAAGATGCTCATTCTAAAGAAGGTTAACAACATAAAACCAGTGTCTTAGCTTTAATAGGACTAAACAGCTATTGCATTCATGCATTTCAAATTAAATGTAATGCTTTTATTGCTTAAAGTGAAGGGCTTTTTTTGTTTGTTTGCTTGTTTCCCAATCAATCACTCGTCAATAGGACTAGAATTAGAAACAGTTTTGGGGAGTTGGATTTTGGGCAATACTTTGGTATGGAATAATAACAGTCTGACCTAGTGTTTGCTAATATTGAGAGTTCTGCTATTTTTTCCAGTCTTAGAAAACAAAGGTCTGCCTATTATTAGAATTACCTTCTAATATAAAATCATACATATTTAAAAACATGAACAGCTCGTTATCACATTATCAATATATGTCCATGGTAAGAGTTCCATCATGGGAGCTGAATAGAATGTGGCATAAAAAGAAACATTGCAGGGGCCTCCCCGGTGGCTCGTTGGGTTGAGCATTGGGTTGCAAAGCTGCCTGAAGCCTCTGCAGCGCTGGTTCGATCCCCGGCTACTCCCCGGCCACCGGAGGAGGGTCCCGCATGGCGTGCAGATCTCTCCTGCCGCCCGCTGCTCCCTTCAGCAGTGTACTTCGGTCCTTCTGCCTGCTCTGCTCCCCGCTCTGGCTCTGGTGAATTCTCTCACCCTCCCGCGCTTTTGACTGTACCCAGTGCTTGTATAAATAAATAAATTAATTTAAAAAAATTAAGTATAGTGCATTTATATTTAAACTTCTAAGAAAGTCATCTTCATTTTTCCACTCTCCATTTTTCTTAGCAATTTCTTTGATTACCGTTTGTAGAAGCATCAACATATCTCAGAAAACTATACAGGAGGCCAGTGGTTACCACTCAAAGTTTTTGATGCTTAAAGTTATTACTGTAAGGCAGTATACATAACTTTTTCTTAGGTCTCAAGATAAGCCTCACAAACTTTGTGTCCTATCCCTTTAAAGCCTGGCTTTAAAAAAACTAACCTGATTTTAATTTTCATCTGGTTTAATTATTCCTCATGTGATTCAGCTCACTGAGGAAGGCAGTAAGGTAACATAACATGGGTAGCATAAAGTTGTCTTATTTTACACTCAAAATTTTACTGGAAAATTTTCTACATATTCTTTTCTACTCTTCTCATATTATGTTTATAAAGTTTTCTCATTTTACATTTCTCTGTGATTTCTGATACACTAAAAACTTGTAATTTTTAAATAAAAATATTAGCAATCAGACATTTTCTATTCCTTACTAAGCGTGTTTTCTATAGAAACTTAATGCCATGTTTTATTCCCTCCATTCATTCCATGCTTCCCAATGAATGCAAATAGGTAAGAACTACAAAGAGTTAACAAGTTGCCACATATGCTAGGATTTCCTGCTAAAACTTTCAAATAATTCCTTTAGATTTGTCAAATCTGCCTTTGGCATATTGAGTTGGTATTGTGCTTAAGTATTACCAGATGTTTCACAATTTTGTCTTATGATATCACTTGCTGTTGGAATTTACCCAGGGTGCTCAAGGTCCACAGGGACCAGTGGGTCCGCCAGGACTCAAAGGTGATGGTTATCCTGGTGTGGCTGTAAGTATGGACATGACTTTTATTTAATTCCTTCTTCCCTCCTTCTTTCCTTCCCTCCCTCTCTCGTTCCTACTCTCTCTCCCTCCCTTTCTTTCCCCTGCACACAACAAGGACACACAAGAACACTCAGTCTCCTTGTTCTGTCATCTCAGGGACTTCGAGGCTTACCAGGACCCCCTGGGCCAATGGGTTTACGTGGAGTTGGGGACACTGGAGCAAAGGTAAGCTTTTAAAGTTAGGTAACATGGTAGCTTCTAAAAGGCACCTTTAGATAAGTAACTTTAGAAAAGGTGAATTTTTTTATCAGACATGACGCAAGAATAGAAGTGAAGGGAATTGATAATTATTTATCCTATGATTTTATTTATCCTATTGATTTATCCTATTGCTATTATTTATCCTAATTATTTATCTATGGACTTCCTGGGGACCCACAATGATTTGAAGGTGTAGGCCAACTTAATGGTTTTTCTACTCCTTTCCTGGTAGCTGCTTTAATTTTCCTTTGCTGCTCTGTCTTACTTTCAACATCAGAATTCAGTTCAAAGCCCTCTTGTCTCCTCTGACCATGCTCTCTCCTAGGCACTCACATCCAGTGCCATGATCTTAACCACCATCCAAGTGCTGATGGCTTCCAAATTTCTATTTTCCCTCCTCTAAGCTCTACCTCACATTTCAAGCTTCTTATCATGTATATCCTCTTAGATTTCTTACAGACATTGCTAAACTAACATTCAAAATAGAACCTTGATTTCTATCCCATCAGCCTGTAAGAAGCTCTACCATCTACCCATGCTTCCTCCAGGAGCCTGAGTCATTCTTGGTTCCTTCCTTCCCCCTTCTTCCCTTCACGTCTATCCCTTGATCATCTTGTCAGTTATACCATTAAAGTATATGTTGGGCCTCCCCTGGTGGCGCAGCTGTTGAGAGCTGGGCTGCAAAGCTGCCCGCAGCCTCTGCAGCACCGGTTCGATCCCCAGCCGCCGGGCGAGGGTCCCACATGGCGCGCAGACCTCTCATGCCATGCCCGCTGCCCCCCTCAGCAGTGTACTTTGTCAGTCTGCCTGTTCTGTTCCCCGCTCTGACTCTGGTGAATTCTCTCACCCTCCTGAGCTTCTGACTATACCCAGTGCTTGTATAAATAAATAAATAAATCTTAAAAAAATATATATATATATGTTGATTCTGGTTGCTGTTCTCAACTTTTGCCTCCACCAGGGCACATCACAATCATCTATTATTGATTTTCTAGGCTATTAAAATGACCTCTTCTCTGGTCTTCCTTGTGTATCTGCCCTGACATTACTTAGTAGGCAAAATATTTTTTTTTCAATCATAAATCAGATTCTATCCCCTTATCACTCTGTTGGCTTCTCTTTACACTTTAAACAAGCTCTAACCACTTTCCATTGCCTGTGAGCCCCTTCATGACCCAAGCCTGCTCCCTCCCCCCTCACTGCCTGTCCTTGGCCCCACTTTCCTGCCCTCGGTCTTTAGCTCTCAGCTCAAATCTCACCTCCTTGACCATCCATACAAAAAATAATCCTTTCCACATCACTATGACACCCCCACTTTGTATTTCTTCCATAGCATATATCACTTTCTAAAATCACCTTGCTTATCTACTGCTCTGTACAGTCTACAAGGGTATAAGTTTTCCTGAAGGCAAGTCTTTGGCTTTTTCCCTAAATTCCTGGCACATATAGTCAGCATGTTACTCAGCGGGATCTTTAGAAAATGTTAAATGAATAGAAAATGAATAATCCATATTACCCAAAAGAGAGAATTTTGCCTTAGAAATATATCTACTCAGATTATCAAATACTTCCAGGCACTAGAGAAGTATGTTATAAGTGATCAATATCAACATTTTGTCTTTGTTATTTGGTCTCTGCCCCAGCAATCTGGAGTGACATCTTGATATTACTTCCATACAATGGGACAGGTGCCTTTTTTACCTTTCCCCTGGTAGAATAAAAGATTGGAGAAACATGGCATTGATGTCATCTAAAGGAGAGGTTGATCGCTGTCTGTCTCTCTCAGGGTAATGATGAGAGTTCAGGGAGAGGATGTGTCTAAAAGTGCAGCACAGGGGAGACAAAACCGAGGTGCTTTTATCAGTTTTCTGGCTTTGTCTAACTCAGGATTGAATCCTATCCTCTAACACACTTTTTTGTCAATAAATTGTACTGACCTTGGATATCAAAGTACCATTTTTTTCCTTTACGGCACAGTATTCCTCAAAATGTTAAATTTTAAAAAGAGACAAATTTAAATATATAAACCTTGCTATTTTTGGCTCTATGTAAAGCACTGGTAAAAGTTTTAGTTTATTGAAGTAGATATACCTTAAGTTAAGGAAGTAAAAGCCTACTCCTATTTAAAAATACAGCATGAGGACCTCCCTGATGGCACAAGGGGTTAAATCTCAGCACTATGAAGCCATCCACAATCACTGCAGCACGAGTTTGAGTTTGATCACTAGCCAGGGAGCTACCCATATGTTGCAGCAGACCTCTCCTGGCTTGCCCGCTACTCCCCTCAACAGTGTATTTCTGTCAGACTGCCTGTTCTGTTCCCCACTCTGTCTCTGGTGAATCCTCTCACCCCCCTGTACCTCTGGCCTACACCCCAGTTCTGCTATGCATAAATAAAATCTTTTAAAAAAATACAGCATGAAACAAAATGTATTTGTATTCCAGTGGAAACATGATCATTAGCATTTCCAGAGTAGATTACTGTACATATTTTATGTAAAACATGGTATTAATACCATGTAACATAATATATATATAGTGTGTATATATATATATATATACACACATATATAAAATTGTATGTATGTATACATTGTGTGTGTATACACACACACACACACATATATATATAATTATACCAGTATGTTACTGCTTTACATTTGGCAATAGTAATAAAGATACTAAAACAGATTATTTTCTCAAGTTTGATCCTTGTGAATATTCCACTGCGTTGGTTCATTTAACATGCAGATTAAAACAATTACTAAATGATTTCATATACCATTTCCCTCTGAAATTATTTTTATCTATTTTCATATGCATTTTAAGGAGAAAAATTGAAAAAAATGTGGTCTTACAAAATTTAGCTTATTAAAAAAAAAAATAGCTAACATGCTGCCACAAGATGTGTCTTGATTAAAATTCATTATCTGTGAGGCTACACTGGAGGGTGAACAAAGAGAAGACATTCATTCGCTGGCTCCTGCCCTGTCTGCCAGCCTCTTCTCAGCTGCCTTTTCCTGCTATCTGTTGCCTGTTGTTTTTCTGTGGAGGTTGAGAAAGTGTGTAATCCTGTAAATCACTATCTCCCAAAGGAGATGTTAGGCATGTGTACTAGTCTTAAAGAACTTGGATTATAAACTTGAAAATACAGGCAGTTTTTAAAAAACTCAAAACCGTCTTTTGTCTTTTACAGAAGCCTTAAGGTGTCTATGTAGCCTTTAAAAAAAAAAATTTGGAAACACCTACACACATGAACAGAAACTGGCAAAAAAGGGAGATAATTCAAAATGTCTAATTTCTAATTCCATGTAACCTTGTCCTGCCTTAATCAAGTGGTGATTAGACTCTCAAAATACCTAAAATTGTCAATAGTAGCAAAAGTACAAGATTTAAATGTATGCAAATTTCCTCTCCTTTCATTTTGAGTTAAAATGGCTGAGAAAATGTAAATATGTGGAAATGTCTGTATATGTATGTGTGTGTATGGTTCTATAAACATATATGATATTTTTTCATTTTAAGTGTAGTCACCTGAAAATATCAGCCTTAGGGCATTAATGCCAATGTGTTTTGAAATAAGGAAACAATTAAGGTTGATGATTAATTTAATGGTACATTTTTATGATATTTAGTTAAGTTCACATGTGGTCAGCACATGACATAGACATTAGAATCAAAACTTCTGTTTCAAAACATACAGAAAGCAATCCTTGACAACTCAAATCCTGTGGTGCACCATAGTTTTTTCCCAAGTGGAAGAAATCCATATGACATTGGTGGTTTTGGTACTTCTATATATAATTACCTTGAATTTAATCCAAATGTTATTGAGGACTGCCGAGAAATTTCTAAAATTCCTGTACAAACTACAACTTCCACAGAGACAATCGATGTGTTTTAAAACTCACTAGGTGTTCTGACCCTGAGGCCCAAACTCCTGGCTCATTGACAGGGTAGGCAACCTCAACACTGCCTGCCTTTCTCTACCAGGTCTCTGGAGACTAGGGAGACCTGATGTTACTTGGGGGACAATCATGTGTAAGTCTCATGTCCCTTTAAGAAGCTCAGATAACTCCTTTGCTCCTGTATTTTCACCGCTGATGCTTGTGCGGCACAGGTAGCCAAGAACTGATTCCCCGATATGTCTGGCGGTTAAGAGTTGTTCTTGGTCTCCTAAAAGGAGAATAAGGAGTGACTCTCCTGCGCTCCATAAAGGCAGGTGCCTTCTACCACACACCTGTCTTAGCTTTTTCAGTCCCCTTCAGTCATCACAGAGAAATATGTGGCCTTCACCAGAGCTTTGCAGTCATTGAGCTTAGGCCAACCTGTACTTTTAGGGGAATCTAACTTGACTTTTAGGGTCCTCCAGAGACCTGTTAACTATCAAGTAGTTGGAAAAAATCTGTAAGTAAAACAGACTTGGTGGTTTTTGTTGTCATTATAGTATATTATCCAAGTACTACATATTATATATTATAAACTTCCTAAATTATACATTATATGCTACCTACCTAAGTAGTTCCAGATTTTTTTAACAGCTCCATTATTTTAGAGATAAGGAAATCGAGAACATGAAAGGTTGAACAACTTGCCTCCTTACAATATAAACAATTTTGATACGATATTGTGTTTACGTTTGAGAGGGAGAATATGAATATGGATGAAAAAATAAAAGACCAAATGGATGAATAAATCAGAGCAGAAAGAATGACTTGGCCTAACCCACAGATGCTCAATATTCAATGCAGTCTGTCTTCTAACTATCTCGGCACCATTTCATGTACAGTTGGTTTGTTTCTCTTTGCATTCTAGCTTTTCCATTGTGAAAGCTTAAGTTATATAAACATGGAAGAGAAGCACAAACCCAAACCCAAAAGAGTTAAACATTTTTCAAAAGCCTTAAATGTTTGACTATTGTAAATACATGCTGTATTTGACAAAAGTGGCCCATAGTCATAAAT